ATTTCAATCGGTAGCAATCGAAGTAAAAATTTCGATTTTTGAATGTTTGAAAGCGATTTGACAATATGATGAGCTAATTTTACTGGATCTTTAACCTAACAAAAACCGAAAAAAAAAACTAAAACTTTTGTTTTATAACTTAATAATTATTTTGTAAAATATTTATTAATATTTTAACTTACTGTAGATCTAATAAAAACGATACCATTGGCTCCGGATTGAATTGCTTGAAATCTTCTTTCTTCAATTTTTTTATTAAATTTTGATTTAATTGATTCAATTTCTTTTTGTAATTCATCCTCAATGCTATCATTTTGCTTATTATTTTCACAATTTTTTAAATTAGAAAGTTTATCCGAGTCACTGATTTCTTCATCTCCTGACTTTTCTGGATTCTAAATAATAATAAAATCATATTAATTTGATTTATTCATTTCAAATTGTTAATATTTTTAAAATTAATTTATTTATTTACTTCTGGTCCAAATAATTTGTCAGCATATTCATTAAGAATACTATAAGCTTCCCAAATGCAATTTTTTTCTTTTAATTTATTATTGCAAGTGCATAAAAATCCAGATAAACCGGGTTCCAATTCATTAAATCGTCTTCTCTTATTCAAATGATGTTTATACGATGATTTATTTTTGAACGACATTAATTTTTTTTTTTTTTCTAAATTCGATATTTGCTCGAATAATATTCACGTGGAAGTAGAATAGAAGACGGGGTTTTTCGTAAACGTAGATAGATTTTTCAAACACCTGATTAGAAAGTTCGTTACTTTATTGTAAATTTTAAAATGTGATAATTAATTTTAACTTAATTGTGATTAAGTTAAAAAATGTCAGGATAATTTTTTAAATTTTATATTTATTAAACATTTTTTTATTACTTAAAAAAAAAACATAATATATTTATCTTAATTTGAAATGACATATAATACTGTATAAAAAACCTCACGTTAACAAACGAGGAGGAGAATAACGATTTTTTTTTTTGACGGAATCCTTATTAAATTTTAATTGAAAAATAAAAAAATGTTTCTTTTGTAATTCTCTTAATAAATTAATCTTTTCACGTGCCAGATAAAATATGCAGCATGAAATATACTGAGAGTTATAAAATAAAAAAATTTATTCTTACTACGAACGTTTTTTGAACGTCGTCTTATATAATCCCCAGGAAAGGATATTTTTAACTGAAAAAAAAAAAATTAAATACTACTACATAACCACAAATACTATAAAAACTGTAGGATTATGTAAATTAAAAAAAGTTGTTTAGGTTTGTTCATTTCGTACACATAAATCTGATACACATTCCTTTAATAAGAATATAAAATAATGATGAACTAACCTGCTTGCTATGATCAACTATTTCTACAAGGTTTTTATTTAAATTTTTAACTGTACAAAAGATATCAGTCAAAACTGAAAGTAATTCATGTTCCATATTGAGATTTCCAATTTTTTTTCTAGAACTTATTCTGCATTTTAAATACTCCAAAGTAGCATTTATTATGGTTAAATGTTTTGTAAAGTTTCCTAATATATTAATGGCATCTTTACATCTGTAATAATTGTACCAAATTGAAATAAAGCCATAAAAATTTTAATAAATAAATAAAAAAATTAAAATATTATTACTGTATATTTTCAGATGTTATCGAAGGCATTGATGAATTTTTCCAAGGAGTCAAATGATACTGATGAATGGTATATTTTTTAAGTAACTTCCTGTCATAATCGAATAAGACTCCTGCTTTTTGTAAATCTTTTTCAGTTGCAGTTAAAAATTCATATAAACCAAAGGTAAATTCTGAACTTTCTAAATGCGGTAAACAATTTATGATTGACTTTACTTCCGATTTAAATCCTTCCTTTCCGGAAGGAAGAGGAAGTTCATTAAATATGTCAAATAAATCATGAGTTTTTACTTTGTTATCTTCGACTTTGGTTTCAGTAAAACCCAATAATTTTGCTATACTTTCACATTGTTTCAATAAAGCAAAATCCAAAGCAGTTTTATCATATCTATTAACAAGATCTAACTTTATTCCAGAATCGATTAATTTTTGTGCGATTTCTAAATCAAAATTACTAATAGCAAAAAAAAGTGCCTGAAAAAATTTTGTTTTTAATAATGATGATATAATAACAATCAATTAAAATCTTTTAAAATGAGAGATTTTTTAAATGATTACATACAGAAAAACCATCTTTATCTTGAGCGTTAATATTAATTGTAGGCACTGAAAGTAATTCATCCACGATTGTTTTATACCCACTCTCGACAGCATACATTAATGAAGTTTTTTTATACTTGTCAGTAGCATTAATTTGAGCATTATACTGCAAAAGAATCCTAACACAGTTAAGTTTTATACTTTCAGGTATGTAAGTTGAAGTACAGCAAACCATGAGAGGGGTAATCAATTCTAGAAAATTTGCGAAAAAAAATTATTTACTTAATTGCTATTAATTATAATAAAAAGTTAATAATTTCAATTTTAAAATTTTACCAGTATGATGATTAGGATTTGCTCCACGTTCTAATAAAAATTCTACTACATCAGGCCTCCCACAAGAACAAGCTCTCATTAAAGCTGTCCATTCAAATGTATCCCGAATATCAACAGATACTCCTATAGTACAAATAGGCGTTTAAATATTCAGTTTTTGAAAATAATTATTATTTTTTAATAAATACAAACCTAAATTAATAAGTGAATCAAGTTTTTCTAAAATAAAGGAATGTCCTTCATCAATGATTTTTAAAAATAATTCAACTTTTTCATTATGAAACAAAGCAGAATATAATTCTTCTCTTATATGTTTATTTTGTATTAAAGGAAGTTGATTAGTTTTTTTTTTAACTACTAATGGGTCAGAATAAAAGTAATTTTCATCGGAAGATTCATCACTCGAATCATATCCAGTTATCATGTTGAAAAATAACGTTTTGTGAACACTGACATAAAAAAAAAACAAAATTCAGCGCTTACTCGATGTAACGGAACTTCCGGAATGTTGATATTTTATTTTATTCATATTTTCTAAAGGCCCTAAAATTACAGTTTTAAAATTTTCAAAATAATGATTTGAATAATATATTTAAATGAGTTCGGCTTTATTTTTTTAATTCAATTAAAAAATATTTCATTTAGTAATAATTCATCCTATATGTACTTTCTAAATAAAAAACTTTTAAATTTTTTTTCATCACTGTATAATACTCGTTATAAGTATTTTAGAAATACTTGAATTTATTTGTTCGTTATTTTAGCAATCATGTCATCTATACAAATTTTTCGAAAAATCATCAAACTAAGGTATACATTCAATACTCATAAATAAATTTATTTACTTTTTTAAATCCTTATATATTTTCTAAAAAATTTTGTAGGAAATTTTGCAATTCAATGCCTTGCAGTTTTAGTGCAATTAATTCTATACATAGGTTAAATAATGTAAACAATTTTAAATATTATCATTTGTCTTCCTTTAAATGCAAAAAGCATTCAGTAAGTTTTTTTAATAATTTTAATATTCATGTATTAACTGTATTTTTTTAAAAATGTCTGTAAAACTTTTCATTTTTTTTTTTTTCCCAGCAAGATTTAAATTATGCAGATAAAGAAAAAGAAAATAAATATGTTAAAGTTTGGGAAAATATTTCATTATCTGATCTAGCTGAGAGTTTCCAATGTGAAACAGGTAAATTTAGATAATTAATCATTGAAAATATTAAGAAATATTAAAAAAAAAAGATATTTTTAGAAAGACTTTTGGAATTATTACCTTCGATAAAGGATGATTCAAATTTACAAAGGCATGAAATTTTAGCTCTAAGTAATATCTTTAAAAAAAAATGTTTATTTATTAGTGATCCTAAAAGTAAAAAAACAAAAAAAAAGCCTACTGAATATGAATTTATTAGGCAGTCTCCTGTAAATACGAAAAATTTAATTAAACGACCACCGATTGTAACAATAATGGGCCATGTTGATCATGGGAAAACAACATTACTCGATGCACTTCGAAACTCTTCAATTGTTGAAAAAGAGTTTGGAGGAATAACACAACATATTGGTGCTTTCTTAGGTAGATTAGATTTGTCGTTTTCAATTTAGTTTTGATGAAAAAAAATTTTTTTTTTGTCTAATATTATTGTTTTATTTAGTGACAGTAAGTTCTGGACAAACTATTACGTTTATTGATACCCCTGGCCATGCAGCATTCACTACAATGAGAGCAAGAGGTGTACAACTTACAGATATAGTAGTTTTGGTAATAGCAGCAGATGATGGAATTATGGAGCAAACAATTGAATCAATAAAAATCATAAAAAAATCTTTTGGTAAAATTTTA